TTTGCCAGCCTGGAAAGCTTGAATTATGTGCGTGACTTTTCGAACCTCGTTCTCTCTCTCAAGATAAAGAAGTGCATTAGTGCGTGGCCCATTTCACCCAAAATGGGTACACTCAATAGAAACTGCTAAATGGCATAACTTACTAGGCATGGTAGGCGATGGTGAGGACTGTTTCCATTCGACGCACGTCAAATGATTTCTTTGAAAATTGGGCCACATTCACACTTGTCACCGTAGTCAACGTCCTATATCGGTGCTATATCTCTGCCACGACCAGAGCGTCGGCAAAAGAAAACGCTGAAGAAAAGAAGAGAGACAGAGAGGCAGACAAAGAGAGAGAGAGAGAGAGAGAGAGAGAGAGAGAGAGAGAGAGAGAGAGAGAGAGAAGAGAGAGAGAGAGAGAGAGAGAGAGAGAGAGAGAGAGAGGAGAGAGACAGAGACAGACAGACAGACAGACAGACAGACAGACAGACAGACAGACAGACAGACAGACAGACAGACAGACAGACAGACAGACAGACAGACAGACAGACAGGTAGCAGACAGTCAGACAGACAGGCAGACAGGCAGACAGACAGACAGACAGACAGACAGACAGACAGAGACGGAGAGACAGACAGAGACCGAGAGACAGACAGAGACAGAGACACAGGGAGAGACAGAGAGAGATAAAGAGAAAAGTGAGAAGCAGAGAAAGAGAGTGGGTTAGAGTGTTGCCGGATCGTGGCCGTGCGCGGCGTACTGATAAATGACGGCGCCTGCCCGCCGCGTCAGGATGGATGAGTTGGTAATGGCGCCTGCAGGCCCAGCCTCGAGACGCCTCTCATGCCTTCTCGCCATGTCGGTGCGTCGAAGTCGGACAGTGAAAAGATAGCCCCCCTGGGATCACCCTGCCCCTGGGAGCACTCGGCCTTTGTCGGCGGTGTCGGAGCTTCTGAAGATAGCCGGCGGCATGGGAACCTAGTCACCAGGATATGGGCGACCGCCCGATCCTGTGTCTCGTCTGGCGTCCAGTGTTCCCGGGAAACAAACGGACACGCATCGATGCCAGGATGCCTAGAGTCCGTCCTTTCCTGGAGGACTTCGTCGGAGAACATCGACATGCACGTCGGCAAGGCTGCCATCCGGAGACACATTGCCAACGTTTCTGCCGCCACGTTCGCGGCGGCCAGACGCGGTCGGGGGAGACGTCCCAATGACGTCACTTGAGCGGACCTCGTCCTGTCGGTAGCACGCCAACTGCTGCTGCTCGTGCTGGGGCCGTCTACCGCGCCGGTCAGCCGCTGCCGGCTCGCAGATCCTCTCCCCCAGTTGAGTGATGTGATAGCGCGTTCTTATCGTAAGATCTGTAGTGTGCGTCTTTGTTACCTGCCCCTGTAAATATGTGTGCACCTCTTATTACCTTTGTCCTTCATGGACCGCGTGAACTGCACAGTGCGTCCATGTCCTGCTCCATGCGGAGGTTCTTGGATGATGGTGATTGCCAACGTGATCATCACCCGGACGACGATTGTGCGGCAAAAAGATAGCGAACTGACAGCGGCAATAATGCCGTGCTTCTAGGTGGTAAGTTTCGCCATTGTCACGGTCTTCAAGCACACTTTGGCAGGTGCTGAAGGCGAAGAGCACGCCGGTGTCATCGAGTGTGTGACTCATCTGCTGATTTGCCGAGACGTTGTTGCTACAGTTTCGCTGTCGTGTTGATGCAGCGCATCTCTCTGGCGCATCCTGATCACGCTACGTGGCGTTAGAAGGGGTTCCGCAACGTGCCGCCCTAGGCCAAAACGTCACATAATAGACTCATGGGACGTTGAACCTGTGGCTCTTTTCCATCCAAAGCAAAACGTTATGTCATGCTCTTCCATGCTAACCGCGCTGACCACACTCTTCTGCTGGTGAGAGGGTGGAAAGCCACTTCTCCATTTGGTCCACAACCCGCACTAACCCCAGCAGCATGCGTCCTCAAATGTCGCCACGCATTTCCACTTGAGCTGCCGGCTCGCCAGAGTTGGACCACTCCGTCGGCGCCTGCCAGCGCGCCTTCGAGATGCATCGAGTCCCGATCATCTTGTTATAGCAGTTAGACGTTGATTGCGATTGGCCAGATTGCCCCGATCCGCGGAATATTGAAATGGGCCCGTTCGGGCGGCAGTTGCTACGTGGCCGTCGCCTGATCCGGGCCCGAACGGACCCGGCGTTTAAGTAGTTTTACGAGGCTCAGCCCGTGGCAAATGGATTTCATGGGGCGAGATGGCGGCGGAGCTATTCGGCGCGAGTCAATCACCGGCAATCGCCGACAGCTGCGCCGCCGGCGACGCCCATATCTCTCCATAGTTGCGGTCTGCTACCAGCTTCAGTGTCAAAGAGAGGCAGCCGCGCCACAAACGCCGGGAGACTGTCCTGCGGTAGCCCGGCCGGGGCCCGCCAGCCCCCCCCCCCCCCCCCCTCTCTGGTCGAGAGACAATAGTTTTCAAACAAAACGGACCCACCTCGTCGGTGAAATAATGTAGCCCGTTAGCGCTGATTTGTGGGTGGTATTTCAGCGCGGAGACAGCACACCCAGCGAAGACAACGGGCCGGCGGCGGCCCCGCCGAGCTCGACGCCGTAATCCGATCACGTTCTATTTAATTGTCCTCCAAATGGCCCGGATCGCCGAAAATGGCTCCGGAAATCCCGTCAAAAACACGCGCCCGCCTGGCAAAGCGAACGGGAGGAAACGGGCGCCTCCCCACACGCATCCGCCTCCGTTCTCACGCGAGCGCTTCGCAGGGAACAAGTGAAGGCAAGCCGCATCGATCTGTATCCTTTCACAGACCTGGTGAAAGGCAGTACAACCTTCTGAGCCGTCGCCGATTCGTTGTCTTTACAGGATGTGCCGTCTCCCTCACTGAAAGGCAGAGCACACCACCGACGGTCGCCAAGTTTGTAAACAAAAACGAAGGAATCTTTCATCCGAAAGGTGTTACGCCAGTCGCATAGTTTTTACGTCGGTTGCTGGGGCAATAATGGTTTTAAATGACTGTATTATATAAGATCAGTACATTAGGGGATTACGAGTTTCAGAAAGGCTTACACCTACATTTTTCGCTTCCGTTGATAGTTAAATAAGACGTGGAAATGTAGTTAATTATTGCTTGACGAAGTGCGAGCGGTGACATTGCTTAGCATACCTGAAAGTAGCGACCCAACATGTTGAACAGGTGCTGTTCATATTCCCATACTACCCGCACACATAACTTCTGACTTTTGACTTTTTGAACGTAAGCACTAGCCAGTCACCCAAAACATCTACACGCACATCTACACGCACGCAAAACATCTACACGCACTACCACCCACACGCACGGTGCCCACATCTATAAACAGAAGCCCCGAGGATACCATTGTGGCTTGGCCCCTCGTCAGGTTGAGAACTGGAGAAAGGCAACGATTTAGTTAGGCGTCTCTTCCAATGCAGCAGATGGACGTTGTGTTACAATCTGGGCAAGTTGAAGGAGACATGTCTCCCTCATGCCCGCCGTTGGAGAGCTCATGAAGGGGACGTGTACCCACATGGGGAGCTCATGCATTGCAGGCGTTATGTAACAAGACTTTATCCAAACAGTGTGCAAACAATGACTATGCCAACAATGCTCCCAGGCTGTGCGGAGTACTTTGGCGAAGTGGATACCAATCTGCTGGATATCGTACGGCTTATGATAACGTTTTGATGACTCCAGATGGGTTTCCTCATCCCCATGAATTTTCGATAATTATGTCAAGTGATGACATATTTTCCACATACATCTTTTTACAGCTTTTACTTACTCAGACTGCACACGATTGGAATGCCATCTGGTGCAGCTTGATAGCAGTTATGTTCACGGTTCCTTTTACCGAAGCCGTCGTATTTTCGTCCGAGGTCATTTTGGAGGCCAGAGCCACGTCGATGGTGGAAAAAACTCTTTCAGTGACCGAACGTGGCTCTGAAAACTCTTCCGAACAGATGAAATTCGAAATAACTCCCGGGCACCGCCACCATTGGGGAGCAGGCCAGCTGCAATGGAAAGCGACTGCAAGATCAACAAAGCTGAGCAGTTTTCCTTTCTTCGGACCCAAGTTCGGCTGGCAGCGGGCGGTCCAGTGCTGGCGCAGTCTGTGAGGCGTGGCGGTCGGCAAAAAGGCCCGCGCGCCGCCGCCGTGGTCCGGAAATGAGAGCTGGGCGGAGCGGGTGCATTGAGCGACGGTCACCCGTGCCAGCGGTTCTTTATACGCCCCCGGGGCTTTCGTTACTTTACGCAGCTTTGTCGCCGCTTTCAGCCGGTGTATGTGGCCTCGCCCCATCGAGTTTGTTATCTCATTTGGTGTGGCCTCTGCGTTTTTCTCTCTCGCGTCCCTTTTGTGACTGATGAATACGTCAACCTGGGTCTCACTACTGCGACGTTCTTTCACCTGTCCGTCCGCCATTTTGGTCTCTTTTCCATTGCCGCAGTCGCGGCAGCCCTTTCGGTGGTGGGGTAGGGGGCGGGGCCACTAGTAGGCCCGTCGCGACAGGTCGGTGGGTAAAACCGTGCCGACAAAGTGAGGCATGTAAACCAAAATGCTTTCCTCAAAGTCCCAAGGAAAACGGAAGTAGTAGGAAGTTCAACTATTTAAGGATGAGGGACCACAATTGCGACAAGGATCTTTACCTACGAGTCCAACTGCCGTACAATATATCATTTTCTACCCAAAAGCCTTGACCTATGACCCGCCGCAGCCCGTCCTGAGTCCAGGCACTCGCTCACCCTTCCAAGCAGCGGCCTCCGCGCGGATTCCACGGCGAATATCCCACGAGCGGGACCCACCCAGCGCGGCCGGAAAGACCAAATGGCCGGCGAGTGGAAGCGTCAATTAAGGCCCAGTCCGCCTAGTTAATAATTGCGAGCTAAAACAGAGGGGCGGGAGGCGGTGGCGCTCGTGAGTGTTGGAGCCCACTGGAGGAGGGCGCGCCGCGCTTCTGATAGAAAACGACCGCGCATCCGGTCCACTATTTATTCCACTTCTTGAGACGGATAAAGTACATCATCAACAGTCTTCAGTGAAATCTCGGACATAATGAGTATGGATCCAGTGTACAAATTCATATAAAAAGGCATTCGGAAGATCACACTATGAAGAACACTCATCAACAACATTCGCAAACACGACTACGTCAATAAATATCACGTTGTACTACAGGGCCAGTGAGCTGTACACGTCATGGGTCCTCGCATACCCGGCTGTGGGAAGGTAGCAACAGGCGCGTTGCTTGGCGGGTTCGGCTGGGGGCAGCCGGTCCTCCCACCACGAACAGCTACGCCGCACGCCCCGCACCGGGGACATTCTAGCTGCATCAGTGTCATGACGTCATCAGTGTCATGACGTCATCGGTGTCATGACGGCCATGACGGCACAAAGGTTGCGAACGATCGCGACAGGCCCCAACGGACCGCAAATGCTCAGAGACGCCATGATGCATCGCGACAGGTCTGAGACGCCATGATGGACCGCCGAGGGCCTCACGGTCTCTCCGGGTCGGGGCAGGTCATGACGGGGAACGGACGGGGCGCGGATGAGGTCACGGTCAGGGCCGCCCACGAGCGGGGGGACGCCGGGGGACGGCGCCGGACGCAGGCCGGGCGAGGCCAGCACAGCCCCACCCCACCCTCACACACACGCAGGAACCCACTGCAGAGGGGCGACTCCACACCCGCCAGCCGCTTCCTCGCCGTCTTTCTCGGACAGACCTCGCCACCACGCCGGCCCTAAATGCACTCAACATCAGCACGATGTTCACACACAAAATAAAACACCGGCCAAAATGCCGGCACGCAGTCGCCGCGCACCGGCCGGCGACATCGTCACCGGCTCATCTGCCGCCCTCCGATCGGTTGGCACTCGCTTCCGAACACTCGGTTGGCACTGAGTAAGGCACGCTTTAAGCTTTGATCACAGTAGGCCGGCCACTGTCGGCGCCGACCCGCTCAGCACTACGTCCGCGCAGGGCACGTGAGCTGCGGGCACTCCGGTCCCGCTACCTCCCGCTGAGTCTGTGCCGCTGCGTTTCGATGCCTGCAACAGCGAAGCGTGAAGTCAGGTCAGGTGAGGTCAGGTCAGGTCAGGTCAGGTCACAGGCCCGGAGTGTGGCCCGGGCGCCTGAGCCCCAGCACCCGCCTGGTCCGGCTCAGCCCAGCACGCGCGGGAGCCGCGAGCCGTCCGTCAGAAACGCCGCTCCGGAGTATGATGAGCGCCACGCGAAGTGTCCGGACGTCACGAGCCCTCCCCTTTACAGCCGACCGCGGCGCGCCATCTGGCTCTGACGGGCCGCCCCGAGCATCGCAGTGCGGGCGTCGAGGCGGCCGGGCCGGCTGCAGTCGTGTGCACCGGCGGAGCCGCCCATCGATCGGTTCGGAGCCGCCAGGCAGCATTTATACCTAGCCCGAGCGCAGCCGAGCGCACTCCTCCGCAGCATCTGATGGCGTCCATGCACCCAATGCGACAGGCCTTTCACTTGACGACGTCCTGTGCGCCGAGGCGCCTCCCGTGCGCGCTCCACACGCCTGGCGTCGGCACGCCGCCTCGCCGGACTGTGGCGTCCCCCTGCCTACGCACATAGCACCCATCTTCACCATTCGCCCCACTTACCGTCCCTCAGGGCTGTCCCTCCTTGGCGTCACGTCCCCCGCGCGTGAACCCCACCCCGAAAAGCTACTCGCCCGATCGTTCGGACAACCGCTACCTCCCCACACAGCAGCCCCCCCCCCCCCTCCCTTCCTCCTACAGTCACGTCACCCTGCGTCATGCACATCTCCCGAGGAATCGCTCACGCAGCCACTCCGCGCCCCCTCCTCCGCCGGCGGCGCACGGTGCACTCACTGTCTTTCCGGCGTATCCGTCGGCGCCGCTCGACGGCCTCGTCTGGGCCGCCGTACTTGTTGTTGTTGAGCACGGCGGCGGCGGCGGCGGCGGCGGCGGCGGTCGGCGGGTGGGCGGCGCAGGCTGCGGCGCCGGCCGCCGCCGGGCCCGCCGGCTCGACGCAGCAGGGCGGCGTCGGGATCGGCACCGGCAGCGCGTGCCCGAACGACGTCTCCGAGAAGGCCGACGCCTGCCGACCCGGGGCGCGCGGGGTGAGTACAGCGGTGGGACACGCGCCGCCGGCCACACTCCCCACCGGCGAGCTCCCCGCTCCCCACCGGCGTCGTGCGACGAACAGAGGTGTTACGGACGCATCGGTGCAGTCAGTTACGGACGCCGCGACTTCTCTCGCTGCAATGAAGGATACGGCTTTCCGAAAGACGCGGCTGGCAGGCGACGGCCGATCCTCCCGACGGTGTTATTGCATCCGGCAGCCGAGGTGAAATATCCGACCGTAAAGCATTGCCAGGAATGGCCTCATCGAACCCCACTCAGGCTAAAGAACGGCTAAACATAGCTCCGCCAGGCCAAGAGCGCCAAACGCGCGGGCAGGTTGGCCTCACGGGCAAGTTTCGCCGTTGGGATGTGAACAAGCTACGAGCGGCACGGCCACGGGCGCACATCTGACATCATCGCCACCCCGTGACGTCACCCGTCATGGCCAACCACAGGGCCGCGTCACCATCCATGTCGCCGAGGCACCTCCGGCAGTCAAGATTCGCTCATCTATTTCTAATGCCGCCGACGAGCGCTGCTTACACGGACGTGACACCACCGGGGCCCGAACCGCCACCCCCAAAACGTCGCCGCTGCGGCCGCCCCGCCAGCCCGGCACCCGACAACATCCTCGCCCGCCTCCACACCAACGGCCTCGGCGTCGACACCTGTCCTCCCACGGCGCACTCGGGCCGACGTCAGCCGTCCCCCGGCCGACCGGCCCCGGCGGCCGCCCGTCCAGTGTCTGGCGGGAGGCCCCTGGAGGCCCGGAGGTCCCTGGCAGCGCACCAGCGTCCCCAGGCCGCGCCACCGATAATGAGCGACGTTTATAGACCGGGCCGATTATCGAGGCATCCCGGCGGTCGTTTGCATGCGTGCCGGCGGCGGCGCGGCCCCGGGCGGCGGCCTCATTACCGCACCGGCAGGAGAGGCCCGGCGGCCGGTGGCGACCCCGGCCGGCCCACGGCGGGGCCGGCCGACGCAGCGGCGCCTGGAGCACAGCGCTCCGACGCCGGAGCGACTGACGCCGGCCGTCGCCTCCTCGGACTCCGCCGCACTGCGCGTGGAACCACGAGTGCAGCTGATGCCAGCGGTAGTGACGGCGGTAGTGACCAAAACCCCCGGAGTGGGTGCAAACGGGTGCAAAAAGTCCGTAACACGTTAGCAAGGCGGCTCGATCTCACCCCTTGTCACGTTCGCGTCAATTCGCTGTCACGCCGAGAAGAGTAGCCGGCCCCGGGCCCCACGTCGGCTGGTGCGGCGCCAGCACACCGTCCCGCTGTGCTGAAGGCAGGCCATCCCCAGCGGGCGGTCCGTATACCCGGCGACGTCCCATGCGCCGGCCAATACGGGGCTGATAAATTGCGGGCGCCGAGCCGGCCTGATCTACGGTACGTCTAATTGGCCGGATCGCATCGCATCAGCCGGCGCGCATGGAGGCGTCACAGCCCACCCACACCGCAGACAGGCAGACAAGAGACGTCGGGGGCCACACGAGCCACGGACACAGACACGCCAGAGGCCACACTAGCCACGGGCACATAAAGGCGTCAGAGGCCGCACGAGCCCAGGACACAGATACGTCAGAGGCCACACTAGCCACGAGCACATAAAGGCGTCAGAGGCCGCACGAGCCACGGACACACAAATATGTCAGTGGCCATACACGCCACGTACACACAGAGACCTCAGACAGCGTCAGGGCGACGGATACATAGGCAGAGACGCACATACCAGCCACGTCACACAGAGGCGTCAGTGGCCACATCAGTCACGGACACAAAAAGACGTTAGAGAACACCGGGCCACGGACACATAGACAGAGGCGTCACATACCCGCCACGTCACACAGAGGTGTCAGACAGCGTCCACGTCACAGGAGCGTCAGGGACCACGCACGTCACACAGAAATCCCAGACACCGCCCACGCCGTGTACGATCGGACGGGTGATGGGCAGTATGATGAAACGCATGGTGAACCACAAAGGTGGGCTCGGATACGACGCACCGCACCGCTTGTGCTGGCCACGCGGTTCAGGACTAGGCGGTGCAGACCCCACCAAGAGCCTCCTCAACAACAGCCGATGGGTTAGCAGTGTCAGTACCGAAATATCGCTGTAGCCGTATTGCTGAGCAATGCAAAGGGCGTCTTAAATCCCACGCCTGCAGGCTGGATGTCTTTTCTTTTCAGATTGCACGAGGCAACTCCTTGGTGGGATTTCCCGGCGTTCAAGCATTGTTTTTGCCCACCGTTCAAGGTGTCGGACGAAAAAGAAATCTGAGTGCACTAGCGCCACAAAACAAACAATGCTGAGCGGCCAGTATCGTCCTCGGACACGTCAGCCAACACCACCGCCATCTACCGCCGCCCGTCACAGCACAGCCCCAGGTGTCCACCGCCAGGGCGCCACAGGTGGGCGGGCCCGCCGGCGCTGCTTGAGCCGCAGTGAGCGGCCGCTCGGGGAACGAGTGGCCGCCGTCCGAGACGACCGTGGCGGCGGCGGCGGCGGGGCGGGGCGGGGCGGGCGAGGGGGAGGGCGATCGATCGATCTCGAGCCGATAGTGTCCGGTCAGCCCGCCAGCCGGACCGTCGACAGGCGTCACCTCACGACCCGAGCCACGCGAGGGCCGCCGCCCGCGCCGTCGCGTGCCGACGTGGCTGCCCTCACGCGACGGCGCCGCGGCGGACGAGTGTGTTCTGGCGGAACTGCACGGCTCGAGGGACGCTATTATTTAGAATGTTTCCCCGAGCTGTTCAGTATTCATGTATACCGGAGGTGTTCATGACGCGGGCCGTGTTAGGGAAACTAAATACCGCTTAGCGGCGCAGCGCTGACGTCATCGAGACGCTCGCAGATGTCCTCCATTACCATATTTACCAAGCAATTTGCATGCGTCGGTGATCGCGAACAATATGACGGGGTGTGCGGAGCAGCGGTGGAGGTGCCCAGCACGGACGATCAGGATCCCTCTGACTGACTGACGCAGCACGCAACAACCGCATTCGTCTTTCCGGCCGGGAAGACTTCCGCCTCCCTCCCTCCCCCATCCCCCCTTCCGTCCGATGACAGTCATTCACAGTCAGCTGATCTATCAAAGACATTGCGCTTCCCAGAAGAGAAGCTGTATCGCAATCCCCCCCCCCCCCCCCTATGCTGTTATCAACACCAGCAAATGCCCAACAACCAACATGCTGGCATCTGCGCACCCTCTGTCCAACTCAGTGTCGCATCACCGTGATGTAGACTAGTGCGCCACAATCGAAAAAGTGCTGCCACATCCAAGTGTGCAGTTACGCGGCACTTGCATCCGTCACAGGACAGCACACGCATTAAAACCAGCACTGGAGTGGAATTTCAGCACGGCAACAATGCCACAAAGAAGAAACTTACCACGCGATCAGGCAGCGGCGTCGTAAGCACCTACATGTTTAGGGCAAAGCACATTCTCCCGCCAGGGCCAGCCCCGTGAAGAATCCCTTCAGCGCGACCCAACAGTCTCCTCCACTCCGCCGGCTCTGGGGCCGTTCCACACTCGGGGACCGCGCCGACGGTGGGCGGCCGCGGCGCCGCACTCACGCGCTGTTTGAAGGGCAGCGGCGGCGGCGGCGAGTCGGGCTCGGCCGGCCGCAGCGGGGCCACCACCATCTCGTGCTCGGACACGGTGAACGGCTGCTGCTGCTGCATGTTGATCTGCTGCGACGTGTCGCCGAACTTGGACGCCTCGTCTGGCGGAGGAGGCGGCCAGGTAAGCACGGCACGCGAGCGCGCGCGCGCGCCGGTGCTGCGGTCCGACGCGTGGCCGGACGCTGCGCGAGGCTTGCGGAGGCGGCTCCGCGGCGGGAGAGAGACAGCGATCAACAAGCTACCGTGTCCGTGTTCATTCATACGCCAACCCTATCCATGATGCATGTATGCAAAGCGCATGAAAATCAGCCGCGGATTTGCGTTGCGCCAAGCTCCGGCATTCCGGGAGACCTCCGTCGACACCAAACGTGACATCAAGACGGTAACGTATTCATGCTCATCCCGACTCGACGCCCTGACGTCTCGCTGCATATCGCTTGGGAGCAGATGGCTGCCACATCAGCAGTGGCTCTCGGCTCGGCTCAGCGTGACAGCTGCAACAGCACCCGCCGCCACCCAGCCCACGCCAGCCCCGGCGGCCCACGTGCAGTCGGGAGACCCGGAACACGTGCCGCCCACGCGCGGGCGCTCACGGGAAACAGACGGAAGCAGAGGCACCCGCCGCCGTCCACCCCCGCACGACGGACGCGTCAACCTCACTCCACACGGCGATCACTAATGCACAAGCCGGGTCGGACCCGTCCCCGAGGGCGGCCGCCGCTTCCGTCTCGTCGGGGTGACCGCGGACGCGTCCCGCCGCCGCGAGCCCGGGCCGCCTCCAGCCGCCGCCCTCCGCGGAGGGCAGGCTGACCCTCCAGCCGGCGGCGGGGCCGGAGGTGCGCCGGCCGCCGGCCGCCCCGCCGCCGCCGCCGCCCGTCATCTATCAATGGGTCTCGACCGTCGCCTTATCGCTGGCGACGGCGCCGGCCGGCAAGAAGCAGATTAATGACGGACCCCGCCGGCCGGCCGCCGGGGGGATGGGGGGGGGGGGGAGCTGGTGTCTCGAGCACACCGGTGCCACCGCGGCATCGGGGTGACGGTGGAGGCACGCTGTGGTTCGCCAGAACGCCCAGAGTGCGTTAGAGGAGTGCCAGGGAAGAAACAAGGAGAAGAGAAGCAGTGGGAGAAATGGCAGAAAGAGAAGCGTCAGGCCTCAGACGCAACCGCACGACAGAACAGCGCAGAAGGGCTTCGTTGCGCCTCCAGCGGGGGCGCTGGGGCGGACACCCGCGTCGTCTCAAAGGTCGGAGACAGGCAGGCCGGCGCGGCTCGTGGTCCTCACGTACCAACACCGCACCACACACCCCGAGGGACCGCGCACCACCGCACACCCCGAGGGACCGCGCACCACCGCACACCCCGAGGGACGAAGCGTCCGAACCAAACACACCGCATCGAGCCCGCGCACGCTGCGAGACAGCGAGCAATTTTCGGAGCCACAAAGGCAGAGCGGCGCTGCTGCGTAGCGCTCTGTTCCCGCCGGGACGGCAGCTGCAGGCCGCCATCCCGTCCGTCCAATGATATATCGGAAACTGAGGAGCCAACGCGTTCATTCCCCTCCCGATAAGCGCGCGGCGAATCTCATTTACACGCATTACGCGTCCATCTTGTGAGGCCGAAAGTTCGCCATCAATATTTTCCCCGCACACGCTCTTGTCATCTTCAAAGGAGCGAAGATGGCTTCCGTGAGCACAGATCGGTCATTTTAATCAGCCATCGTGAACCTTTTCCTCTGACAGCGTATGTCTCATTTCCCATCGAACTTACGACGCCGATAGAGCAGTAACTTACGTTCCAAACCGACCGGAAATCGAACCCAGGCCTCCCAAATACCCGCCGGGCGCGCTCCAACTGATCTCCTCCACCGCCTGGGTCACCTTCGTCCGCCCTGCGCCCCACACCTCGCCGCCCGTTAGCGCCGCCTCCCCTCCCCGCGCCGATGCCTACCCTGTTTGCCGCTGGCGCGCGAGCGGCAGTAGTAGACGAGCGCGAACAGCAGCGCGAGCAGCAGCAGCAGGCCGAGCACGCCGCCGACGATGGCGTACAGCCGCAGCCGCGAGCGGTCGACGCCGCGCGTCGTCACGATCGGCACGTTGTGGCCGCCGCCGCGCGGGTCCTCGGTGCTCGGCGCGTCCGGAGAGTCTGCCCGGGGGGGGGGGGGTCACGGTCAGGGGAGCGGCACACTGGGGGGGGGGGGGGGCTGACGGACAGATCTAGTGGCCGTGGAGACAATGCATTATGATCTGTCCTTATTATATATACGTATAATAAACAGTGGTGTGCTGTGGGTGACTACCACAAGTTCGGATATAAAATGCACCATAACCGTCTGGCAGGGACGTCATCTCGGGAAAAGGCTGGAAATGATCAAACTGACATGTGGAAGATGGCCCAGGAGGAAACACGCCCGGGCGGCTTCCCGTATCGCATCTAGCCAGCACCCGCCAAATAATTCAGCAGATAACGCCGACACTACGAGGGATGATCCGGCGGTCACGTGACAGAACAGCTCCCACCCGTCACAACCCACGTTCCACGAGTAATCCACAAACGACAGCGTGCGACAGACGAGAGCACGGCGCGGACCCGCGGCGGTCACGCCCTCCACACACGGCGTCTGCTCTGGCGCCGGGGTCGCCGCCTCACCCTGCGTTCGCTCGGTGACGATCGGCGAGAAGTCGGACACGCCGCCCTCCAGGTTGAACGCCTGCAGCTTGATGTCGTACGCGGTGCCCGGCAGCAGCGAGGTCAGGATGTGCGCCTTGGTCGTCTCGCCCAGCACCGTCACCTGAGGTCGCAGGTCAGGTCAGGTGTCGGGCAGGTCAGGTCAGATGCGGCGGAGGGAGCGGGTCATCTGCGGCAGTATGCGGCGCGGAACACATGCCGCGCAACAGGCCTAAGAGATCCAGCCAGCCTAACGCCTGCATCGGTGAGGTGACTCACCCATCCGCGCCACCCCTCGCGCTCACGGTCACCGCGGCGGCAAATCACCTCTCCACTCCCGCTGCACAGCAGCCCCGTCCTCTCCAGCGCGCCGGCGTGGCGTCTCCCCGCCATCGACACCAGACCCGCAGCGCCTGCTGCCGCTCGAGGCCGACCATTGGCCGGCGGCGTCGCACCTCCCTCCGTCGGGGGAGGGGGGGGGGGAGGGAAGGGTTCGGACCGACAGCAACGACGGCGACAACTTGCCCTCGCACTATCGTCACCGTTTCTTCGTCCGGTCTGCGCCAGCTTCTGCTAAGAGCGTTCCGAGCGAAACTGAAAAACCGGCGGCGCGCTCGGCGTCAGGCGCACGCCCGGACGCCGCGGGCGTCTGTCACCGGACGGCCCCCGCCTCCGGCGCATTCGTCACGAGCGAACGGCGCCCGGCTCCGTGAAATGAGTCGTGGAGCGGCCGCCGGCCCGGGAGGCCCCGGCGCGCCGGCCCGCCTTCCGGGACGATACATCGGCGGCGCCCGCCAGTCGCGACGGCTATGGCCATCGGGGAGGCCTTTACGGGCACTCACCGGGCGACCACCAGGAGATGCGGCACGCCACGTCGTCACGCTCGTGCCACCCCGCGCCGCCCACGCCGCCGACCCCCCAGACCTCGGCAGCGACCTCCGCGCCGACCTTCTCCCCGTGCGGACGGCCGGGTCAGGGCGTCCGCGGCCGGCGCCGCTGACCTTTGGCCGGTCGACAGGCCGGCCGGCCGGGCGGGCGCACTTCATCAGGGCCGGGGACGGGGCGCCGCCCCCGGGGAGGACGGCCGGGCCGGACCGTTCCGCGCCGCCGGCCCCCGGACGGATGGGGCCGCGTCACGGACTCGGCCGGGCCTGGCGGCGCGGCCAGGTGCCGGCCGGGGCCGAGGCCGAGGCCGAGGCCGGGGACGGAGACGGGCGAGCCGCTCACGTCCGCTCGGGCCGGGTGTGGCTGGAGGAGAGCTCCAGGCCAGTACGGGCCTGGCGGCGCGCTTGGTAAGGCGCTCAAACAGCACGGCCACATCAGGACCAGTTTGGGTCTGGCTTGGACCATACCCATTGCGGCCAGCAATCAGCTCTGCAGGACTATGGGTCGAGGAGGAAGAGAGATAGAGATAGAGAGATAGAGAGATAGAGAGATAGAGAGATAGAGAGATAGAGAGATAGAGAGATAGAGAGATAGAGAGATAGAGAGATAGAGAGATAGAGAGATAGAGAGATAGAGAGATAGAGAGATAGAGAGATAGAGAGATAGAGAGATATAGAGATAGAGATAGAGAGATAGAAGATAGAGAGATAGAGAGATAGAGAGATAGAGAGATAGAGAGATAGAGAGATAGAGAGATAGAGAGATAGAGAGATAGAGAGATAGAGAGATAGAGAGATAGAGAGAATAGAGAGATAGAGAGATAGAGAGATAGAGATAGAGAGATAGAGAATAGAGAGATAGAGAGATAGAGAGATAGAGAGATAGAGAGATAGAGAGATAGAGAGATAGAGAGATAGAGAGATAGAGAGATAGAGAGATAGAGAGATAGAGAGATAGAGAGATAGAGAGATAGAGATAGAGATAGAGATAGAGATAGAGATAGAGATAGAGATAGAGAGAGAGAGAGAGAGAGAGAGAGAGAGAGAGAGAGAGAGAGAGAGAGAGAGAGAGAGAGAGAGAGAGAGAGAGAGAGAGAGAGAGAGAGAGAGAGAGAGAGAGAGAGAGAGAGAGAAAGAGAAAGAGAAAGAGAAAGAGAAAGAGAAAGAGAAAGAGAAAGAGAAAGAGAAAGAGAAAGAGAAAGAGAAAGAGAAAGAGAAAGAGAAAGAGAAAGAGAAAGAGAAAGAGAAAGAGAAAGAGAAAGAGAAAGAGAAAGAGAAAGAGAAAGAGAAGACAGAGACCGAGCATCACCCCGCCCAGGGGCCCTTCTCTGAGCTTTGTCAGGGCGCTGTAGCGGGTCTCCTGCCACAGCGGTTGTCGGGCCGGCTCGTGTCTGATGGCTGCAGCTCACCCCGGTGGGACAAGACCTTGCAAACGGTTACGACCACGTGAGGAACGGGGAGAAGAGAGCGGACATTAATGAGGACTGGCGGGTCCCGCATGCTAACACGCGTGCGGACCTCAATCGACCGTTGAATGCAGCGATCGCCGGCATCACACAATTCTTACGACGATCAGTATCGTGCGCGGCCGGTCCTGCCCCCGAGTTTTGAGGAACACCATCCAGCAGCCCTTGCGTGCACGGCTCCCTAGCTGACCCAACTCACCTTGGAATAGTCACCCGCCATGGTGGTGTCGCGATAAAAGATGAAGTAGCCCTCTATCGGCGCCGCTTGCAAGTTGCGGTACTTCCATGTGAACTGGATGGCGCTGGGACTCTGTGGACTGTGAGCGTCGATGATGGGCGCACCCGGCGGCTTCGCCTTCTTGCGCATGCGCGTCATCTTGACCTTGCGAGAATTGGGACCGTGCTTGTTGTCCTTGTTCTCGTACACGGCGAGCACGCGGAATCTGAAGTGGGAGACGATGGCAATCAGTAACATGAGCGGACAGGCAAATGAAAGGCTCACGTGAAGCATTCCTACATTCCGTGATGTTTATGCCATGTGATAATTACATTGACAAACCGTAATAATTGAAGACACACATGCTGGCAAATCGAGTCGCATGATCAACCTATTCAACAGTGGAAGAGGCAAGCAGTTACTCGCGGTCACGGTTTGTGTCGTTAATATGATTCATACCTGCAGTGAAAGCAACAAGCTCTACCAACCTAACGCTGCCTGACTTTGCACATTCTTACGTTCAGCAAAAGCATAACCAGCTTCTCGCTCAGCACGAGATCCGCATGCTACCCGTAGTTTGAACAATCACCCTACTCACCGCCCGCGCATCCCCCGCGCAGCCATCGTCTGGCCAGCCGTGGCCGAGCGTCCACGCGTCCCTCCAGAGAAACCCGCGCACGCCACACCGCACTCCTCCCGCCAGCCGCGGGGACGAACGTCAGCTCCCCTCCCCTCCCCCCGTCACCCGCGCGCGTTCCCGAGATACCCGCGCACGCCACACAGTACTCCTCCCGCCAGCCGCAGGGACGAACGTCAGCTCCCCTCCCCTCCCCCCGTCACCCGCGCGCGTTCCCGAGATACCCGCGCACGCCACACCGCACTCCTCCCGCCAGCCGCGGGGACGAACGTCAGCTCCCCTCCCCCCTCCCCTCCCCCCGTCACCCACGCGCGTTCCCGAGATACCCGCGCACGCCACACCACACCCCTCCCGCCAGCCGCGGGGACGAACGTCAGCTCCCTCCCCCCCCCCCCCTCACCCACGCGCGTTCCCGAGATACCCGCGCACGCCACACAGTACCCCTCCCGCCGGACGCGGACGGACGCCAGCTCCGCCCACGCTCGCCACCGACTCACTTGTACTTAGCGCCGACGTCCAGGCCGTCCACCTCGAACGAGCGCGCCGTGCCCGGCACGTCCGAGTCGTGCGTCTGCCAGTCGTGGCGGCGCCGCGGCGCGCGCCGGTACTGGATCTTGAAGAAGAGGATGGCCAGGCCGTCGTTGGGCGGCACGTCCCACTGCAGCATCACCGAGCTCTCCGAGATGGGGTAGACGCTCGGCGCGCCCGGCGGCACCATCAGCTCTGCAGCCGGCGGGCCAGGTCAGGGTCAGGTCACGGTCAGGCATAATAGGCGGGACATGCGGCGACTGACAGCTGAACCCTGTACAAAGCACCTCACAGTGTCGGGAATTACTTCACTTCGGTTTTTTACAGATTTCACACGACCGAAACGACACGCTTACGCGCATCAAAAACTCAATCCGTTCGTGCTACCGTGACAACGCGAACAAAATGTGTATCGGCCAGGTGCAAACTACCGTCCAGAAGGCAAACGGCAGCGTCCAGCGACGCTTCGATCCTAGCCGTCACACAGACGCCAGTGAAACCCCGACCGTCACCCGCGCCTGCGACCAGCCGCCCAGCCCGTCCTCCGCGTCCGCAGTCGGTCCCGGCCCCACTGACCTCCGTCCCTGTTCCTGTTGCCGTTGCCGCGGCGGCGGCCGGTCGACTGCCGCTCCGTCGGCGCCGGCGTCGACGTCAGCGTCGCGTCCGACGGCAGCACGGCCGACGACACCGTCTGGCGCGGGATCACCTGCGGCGGCGTCAGCGGCGGCGTCAGCAGAGGGACGCGGGCGGGCGCGGCGTCAGACGCGGCGCGCCGGGGCGACCGTGCGTGGCGCTGGCCATACGGACGGCGACAGTAAGCCAGCTGCTCTAACCGGACGCTTGAGGCATGCAAACAGCGGGAAAGCGAACGGGCGCCGACGGGTGATTAGTTCATTCAGCAACAGCGCGATCATCCATTGACGTCGACTTGTCCGTAAAACCCCAAAACCAACTAACCAGAGTTCATTCAAAAATTACTGGCACCTTGCACACACTACATACATAGGCGCCTCTAACGTGTCCTCAACCAAGAATGAGACAGACCGCAGCTCAGGGCCCGCACCCGCAGCGGCCGACACACGCCGAGCTTGCCGTGCCCTCTCCTCGCTCCCCGTCCCCCCAACGGCGCACCTTGAGCAGCACGGCGGCCTTGGCGTCGCCGCTCTCGCTGTGGCCGAAGCACTGGTAGAGGCCGGCGTTCTGGCGCGTGACGGCGTCGAACTGGAGGCGGCCGCCGCGGACGCGCGGCTCCTCGCCGCCCAGCACCGGCCGGCCGTTCAGCACCCACTGCAGCTGTGGCGGCGGCTGGCCGCGGCCCACGCAGCTCAGCTCCACCGGGGCGCCCTCCTGCACCGTCGGGTCGGAGGGCGACGTCTCCACCGACGGCGGCTCTGCCGGGGCCGCGGCGCCGGTCGCGTCAGGCGGTCGCAGGACGCGTCTCAAGCACTCAGCTAAAACGCTGCACAGGCTCCCAGCCGGGCACACACATCTGACGCTTTTAGCGTCACTCCAGCGCGAACCGTCTTCCCACAAACAACCCTTGATCTGCTACCTGCCATATGTCAACCGCCACTTGTCGCCTGCCACCTCCCACCCCTCAGGTCTCCTCCCCCCCCCCCCCCCCCGCCCGCGACGCGTCCCCACCCGCCGGTCCACCTCCCCGCCCCCTCCCCCTGCCCCCCCCCCCCCTGCAGGAGGGCACCGGTCCACTCACCGACCACCCGGACGACGGTGGCGGCCGTGAGCGAGCCGCGCGAGCTGGCCACCTCGCACACGTAGTCGCCCTCGTCGGCGACGCGCAGTTGGCGGATCTCCAGGCTGGCCGCGTGCTGCACATAGCGGTCTGTCCAGCGGCCGTCCAGCCGCTTCCAGGCCACCACCGGCAGAGGCCAGCCGTCCGCCACGCACTCAATCCTGACGGAGAAGGGGAGGGGGAGGGGCGTTGGTAACGGAATCTTATCGTTCCTGGCTGGTAGGAGCGCAGTGTAACGGAATCCAAAAAGGGGTCGAAACGGGCAGTTTGGTGGGAGTGCGAGTGCCAGACCATTCAGGAGACCCATCGCCGCGACAGGAACACGCAATCGCCGAAACGGGCAAACTCTACAACCACGAATGGCACGACCAGTATCAACAAGGCCATTGATTCCACCACTCCCCCCCCCCCCCTCCCCCCTCACGACACACCACGCCCACCGCTCCCTCCCCGTGGTCGTCGCCGCCGCCTCTCACCGGACGGTGGTGCCGGGCTCGGCGCGGTACATGGGCTCGGGCGGCACGAGCAGACGCGGCGACGCCGTGCGCGCCGGCCGCCGCACCTCGAGCCGCGTGCTGAACGGCGCCGTCACCTCCTCCTGCGTCAGGTGGTTACGCGCCGAGCACGTGTAGAGGCCGCCGTGCGACGAGGCGCTGATGTCGGAGAGGTGCAGCCGGCCGCCCGGCAGCAGCGTGGTGCTGTCTGAGGAGCGGCGGCGCGGGGTCAGGCTCCGGGTCAGGTCGGAGCGGGTGTGTGCGCACGGACGGGCGCTGCTGGTCGGCAGCATCAGCCACTAACACAGACGCTGCTTTACAGAATGCTGCATGATGCGAATGGAACGGCGGCGTCCACGGCTTCGAACGCGGTTCCAAACCGATCACGTGGCTGACATGACGCCTGCAGTATCGAACACGTAAAAAACAGGTTATCCCAAACAGCCCCATCCCTGCCTCTCTCAAAGCCCTACCCCTTTCCCCAACATCGTCTCCACGCACGACCACAACCGAACAAAACAGCGCGGACGCCGCCCACGCACGAGCCTGAGCCGCACCACTCCCCGTCGGCGCCTCCGACTCACCTCCGCGCGGCACGACCGGCCGGCCGTCGTGGTAGAACCGGACCGAGGCCGGCGGATCGCTGGCCGGCGGCGGACACTGGATCGACACGGTGCCGGCCGGCGGCGCCGTCAGCGTCGCGTTGGGCCGCGCCGGGAACGGCGCGATGTGGGCGATGCTCAGCGTGGCCGGCAGCGAGGTCAGCCCGATCGGCGCGATCCAGGCCATGCACTGCCGGAGCGGCCGGCGCGACGCTCAGCCGACGGTGGTCCCCGGCCAGGGGGGAGCCCGGCGCCAGCTCACACCGGCGGGCGGGGGTCGTCGCGGTGGGCGCGATGTGGGCAGTGGGCATCGGAAAACGAATCGAATGGCCGCAGCTTGTGACCAGTTGACGGCCCGACGCTTAAGAGTTTCAGACAGCATGCAAGGACACCGACGTGGAGGCAACGCACGAACGCGGCGGACCAATGGACGACACGCGCACGGACACGCCACGAGACTCGTGCGAGCCTGGCGCGGACCATGCCCTGACGGAAGAGCGTGGCCGGCAGCTCACTGACCCGGTATTTGCCCGTCTGTCGTCGGTAAACCTCGGGGTCGCGGCCCACCCGGATCAGCAGCCGACCCGGCTGAACGTCCATGGCTGGGTCGCTGCCCGGCTCCAGCGGCTTCCAATCGTGCAGCCATCTGGCGGGCGCACCGCAAATCATCAGTACGCCTACCACCCGCCACGCGGCAGCATTCGTCAGGACGAGGAAATCTCACGCACCGCTCGTGGAAATTGTCACGCTCTGTTCCGCAAAACAGGCTAACAATACACAGCGTCGTCCGAGAACTCACAACTTTTGTTGTCAAAACTCCTGGCGAATCTCAAGAATGCACCGCCAAAGCAGCCACAAAAACAAAACACGACAAAACCGGTAACAGCGCTGCCATTGTACTGCTGTTCCCACGGGCGGCGTGCGACGACGCCGAGCCCACGGCGGGACACTTCAGGCCACTCACGTGAGGTGGTCGGCGTCCAGGTTGATGGCGCATGTGAACACCACCTCGTCACCAGGCGGAGCCACCAGCGACTGGGGCTCCTTCACGAAGGAGATGCCCAGGCCTGTAAACAGAAACGGCCAGGGTCACGAGGAGTATCGAGGCGCCGGCTTCAGTGCTGACCGGCGGGGCGGGGCGGCTCCAGTCACAGGATACATCGTGTCATGTCACTGGGGCTTTACGACGCACTCGGCTGCTGAGGCTATATGGCGTCGCCTGCCCCTCACCCTGGCAGGAAGGGCGGGCACTGCGAGGAATCGAACCCAGTACCTCTGGCTTCCCAGACGTGCAGTTGTTAACACGCACGCGTTAACCACTACACTACGGGCACTCCCACAGGGTACATCCGGTCGGCAGCATTGCAATGATGGCGCACATGCACTCCCGCACAGCGTTCGAAAAACAGATCGGACCGGCGCCAAAGCGGCATCAGAAACGAACAGCCTTGGCCCGCTCTCCGCCAGCCCATGGCAGCGCAGCCCGTTTCGCAACAAGGTAAGATACGCCACGAATTCCGCAGGAAATCCTGACCGCAACCTCTTCACGATATCAGCAACGACCACGACCACCGGAAGCTGCCATGCGCTTCACCGCTGCACAGCTGAGCCTGACTCTACGGAGCACAAACCGCCATCTGCCCCGTGCTGGCCACGAGAGGACCGGAGCCCGGCACGTGACCTCCCCACCCGGCCAGGGCGGGCGACACCGAGCGCGGGAGCGCGGGCCGCCCTGAGCCAGCCGACCGAGACCGGTCGGCCACGGCCGGGGTGGCGACCGCGCCACACTTGCTGTCGCCCCGCGTCTACCCTTGGCCCGGCCACAGACGGGACGCCTGGAATGTCGCGCTGGCCGCAGTCCTCATTACGGCGCCGCGTCCCCGCCGACTGCCGGCGCGGCCGCGTCACGACAGGGACAGGCCTTGACAAACGACAAACGGCGGCCGCGGCGTGACGGACAGCCGCGACCAGACAAAACACCGCAGCGCGCCACAAGCCGACGGCATCGCCGCTAACGATCCCGATTAAAACAACACGCGACGGCCGGCGCTGCTCTAACGACCGCGCCGGCAACCCGCCGCGGCAGCCGCGCCGCGGCAAGCGGACGCCAGCGGCGGCGGCCGAGCACGGCCGACTCGACCGCGAGGGAGCTAGGCTCCGACCGAGAGCGACCTCTCCGCCGGCGGCGACTGAGCGCAGCCGTCTCGACCGCGAGGGAGCTAGGCTCCGACCGAGAGCGACCTCTCCGTCAACGGACGGCGGCCAGGCGCGGCCGTCTCAATCACGAGCCACGGAGGCTCCGGTCGAGCGCGCGACCTCTCCGCCGGCGGCGGCCGAGTGCGGCCGTCTCGACCGCGAGGGAGCGAGGCTCCGACCGAGAGCGACCTCCCCGTCAACGGCGGTCGCCGGCCGAGAGCCGCCCGAGCGCCGACGTGTGGCCGCCAGCGGCGCCGCCACCACATCCCCCATCGGCCCGGCTCGGGCTCCGCCAGCCGTGGAAAGCACAATCGGCGCCACCGCGGCGGCCTCGTCACATTCCACGGTGGTTGAGAGAGCCTCCCTCTTCGCCGGGAGCGAGCCATGGTTACCATGACGGTCCCGTGACGTGGCAAAAGTGCCCCCGCTGACGCTGACGCCGCCTCCCACGAGTGACCTCACGTTCTTTTGTGACAGGAACATGACTGAATACTTATTCCATCGACCACGTACGTGAATGCGGCGGGGATGGCATTAAGTACTCTACACGGAAAAATATGGGACTCTTAGGCGAATGGATCTGACATCATCGCGACTTTTAAGTGCTGGAATGCCCTCAATCGGATTTGATCACGAATGTACATGAAGTGCAACTAACAAACGACAAGGCCGAACTGATAGCAACAAATCCCCAAAACAAACGAAGCTGCCTCATCTCCATACCCGACCCCGACGAGACCATACTCCCCGCAGCCCCTGTCAGGGCCAGACCTCAGACCGGCCCTGGCCGCCGCCAGTCACGACCGCCGGCGGCCGGAGCCGGAGCGGGCCAGCCCAGCGCCGCCGGACCTCCGACGCCGGCGCGCGCCGCCGCTGCGTTGCGCGCCGGAGCGCCGCCGAGAAGTCGGCCCGCTCGGCCCTTCTGCGCCGTACCGGGGGCCAGCCGAAAAACGCCGGCGCGGCCGCCAGCGGACCGGTTTCGAGAGCGGCTGAGAGCCGCGCGGCGCGGCCCCGCGTCGCCGCGACGGCCGGTCGACTGACGCGCCTCGGCGCAGGCGCATGGCCACGCACGCCGTCACGACACCCGGCTTGGACTGGCGTGGCTTGCGAGGAGCGTGAGCGGACGGCCGCGTCGGATGTTCAGTCAGAGGCGTCGTCGGCCGACATGAACTTAGCCGCGCGTCCGTGCGGGAGAAGGCAGCCGCTCGTTCCCGTCCGGCTTCTGCACGGCCGCCACCAGCTGGTGGCCGGTCAGGCGGCGACGGCCGGAGCGGTGACATCGCCGCCACAAGGCCGGGTGTGACGATACGGTCATGGCCGCGCCCCACACCTCCATCGACCGGTGACAGTATCTGATCTCGCTGACGGGCGACAGCCCCGGCGCACTCACGAAACAAACACCGCGCAGCGACGACAAGTCGCCGAACGGGCCCATCCGCGCATGACACGAACACTCAGCTCGGTGGTCACCGGCTCCCACACCGGGTAGTCACCGGCTCCCGAGCGGAGCGGTCACCGACTCCCACGCGGGGCGGTCACCGGCTCCCGCGTGGCTCCCGACCGTACGCCGCCTGAGATCACAGATCTTGCGGCTGCCCCTGATGACCAGGCCGAATCCGCGAACAGTGCCGCTGGACGCGCGAGCTCCGCCGGTGCCCGCGGCGTCTCGACGCCGCCATCGCGTTCGTGTCGGGCCGCGTGACGCGCGAGGGCGGACGGGCGCGGCCCGCCGGCCACGCGCCTGCGTCCGATGACGGGCGGCCGCGGTCTGTACACGTGTCTCACCTTTCTGAGCGGCGGCCGGCGCCAGGCACAGGCCCAGGGCGGCAGTCAGCGTAAGCACCTCCATGTCAGGACGGCACGCGGCTCTGTCTCATCGCCTGCAAACGTGGACAGCGCCGGTCAGAAGCGCTCCGAAATAGAAACCACACCGCCAAGAGGTCGGGAAGGACGGTGCAGAAGCACCGGCAAGCGAGCGAGCAGGGCACGAACAAATGAGCAACGCTGGCAACAAATGGAAACAGACGAGGGACAAACAGTAAAGCGGCCCTCGACGTTCAGCATCACCACTTAAGCAATCAAACCCCGCTGAATAAATAAGCACGGCGAGCAGAACACACGGTGCAGACAACAAGCGGTATCTAGGCAATCACGGCCGCCAACAGAACAGGTCCACCACCCACCACGGCACCCGAAACCAGTTCTCACAGCCCGCCGTCGTACTCCGGCCAGCTCTGATTGCCGGCGCGGCGCCGTCCCCGGCCTCGGTTCCCTCCCTCTCCCGCGGTCCGAGCGGCGGCGGCGGCGGCGACGCCGCTCTGCAGTCGCCGCCCTGCAATCCATCGCGACCCGACCGACCGCAGCTAATTGCGGCGCGTCCGCCCATCTGTCAGAGCCGGCCGGTGCCGCCGGGCGTGCCGGGGAGGCGGCCGCCGGCGCCCAAGAGTGGCGGTCGCCGGCGTCCCGACCGCCACTCTTAGTGCAAGCCGGCGCTCCGGCCGCCGGCCGACACCCCCACCCTGCCAGCACCCCAGCATCGCAGCATCGCAGCATCGCAGCGTCACAGCATTCCAGCATCCTAGCATCCCAGCATTCTAGCCCTCCTCGACCATCAACGTGTTCTCCACCACCGGCAACGTTCCGACCACTGCCCAAACACCGCCGACTCTGAACACTGCCAGCAGGCTAGCCCTCGCCGGCGTTCCGACCCCCTCCCCCCGGCGGCGCCCAGACTCACTCGAGCCTCGCACCGGCGCGAAACCCGCCGACCGCGGCTGCTGACTGGGCGTCACGTCCTCCGCCCGCCTCCTCTCCAGCCCCCGGCCGCGTCACGTACCGCTCGGAGGTCGGCCGAGAAAAACGCGCGCCCGGCCGGCGCCGGCCAGCGACGACGGCAGCACAGTCACGCGGCTGGGCGGGCGGCGCCGCGCGGACGCGCCAGGCCCGACGGCCAGGTCAGCAGCAGCCAGGCGGCCGCTCAGTCCGAGCAGAGACGCGCAAGATCGACGGACAGCTGTTGTAGCTCGGGGCCAATAATCAACCGGAGCGTGTTCCGGGTGTGGCGACCTCAACGCCTGGTCGAAGTCGCTGTTTGGTTCAACGATCGCCTCGGGCAGGTCTAACGCCGCCTGAGAACAGCCGCCGCGCGCGAGCAAAAACACGCTCTGCGGCGCCTCGTCCGTGGGATGATGCAGAGCACGGCCTCGCCTGTCGGCCCTGAGATCGGCCGGCAGGACAGAGCCAGACGGCCGAAGCAGCAGCAGCCGGGCGAGCACAATGGTCCGTGCCGCTCGTCACAGCTCGTCGGCGTCAGATGGCCGCCAACCCATTCAGTTTGCAGAGGCCTGTCCGTATGGGGTCCGTATGGAGTGTTTGGATTACGAATCGCGCACGCTGCAGTACCCACCGCAGTGTCTCCACGCAGCTGCATCCTGGTTCTTCAGGAGCTGCACAGCGGCTTCTCCGGATCGAGTTTTCTTTCTAATTTTCTAATTTCTTTCTAATTTTCTTTCATTTTGGCTCCCGCTGGTAGCATTTTCTTCCCACTAGTTGTACCTCGATTTTACGACCGCAATTCAGTTTCTCCTAGCCGCACGTCAGTTCCTCCCAACGCGCCCCAGTTGCTCGCCTCCCGCGGCCGGCCGGCCAGCCGCGTGCCCCAGCGGTCACGGCCGCTGCTCAGCCCGCGGCCGGTCGCCCTGTGCGGTCCCGCTCGGGGGGTGGGCCGCCGGCCGGCCGGCCCGCCGCGTCACGTGCGGACGTGCGCCGAATCAGCCCGGTCCGGCCGGCCGGAACCGGTCCGGCCGCCGGCTGACCCGGAGCCGACCCGGGCCGGCACGGCTCCGCTCCGCTCGGCGGCCCACCACGCCGGCGCGCGGCCGCGTTCCGAGCTTGCGAGCGCGCGGCGAGCTCGACGGCGACAGCCAGGCCACAGCAGTTCGAGCCCCGAGCAACCGCGACGGGTCTGAGAACGCCGGCGCGCGCCAATCACCAGGTGCGGCAGCGACGCACTCAAGTGCCCCGAGCTCAGGTCATTAGCGCCGCTACCGCCGGCGGACACCGCCGCAGTGCGAAGGACGGCGTGAGATCGTGGCGGCACTTGCACCTGCCTCCTGCGGTCCGGGCACGCCGCTCGCTCGGGCACGCCCGACCAGGAGCGTTCGCCTTTGTCTGCAGCGCGCGCTCAAAGTGGACAATTTGAGGGCTCATTTGTGATTACTGCCGGTGGTGGCCGTGCCGGTAATTGGTCGGTCCGGCCGCCGCAGACGGGCCCCAGTTGGTGCGGGGTTGGACGCGGGCGGGCCACGCCGCAGCGCGCGGCAGAGTCGGCGAGACGCGTCAGCAGGTAGGAGAGAACAGACACCACGTAGACGCGTGTTCCGACATGCATGCTCTACGCGCACTCTCTGCATCGATTTACCACAGCAAACTGGCATAAACAAGAAGGTCGCGAGATTGGTCTGCGAGTAAACTGAACATCCTCTGCCAGCAAACCTTTCCCCGCCGGGTGCCACCGCTCGCCGACAGCGGGGCCCCCGTGCTGCCTCTGCCAGGCGACCACGCCGGCGCGCCGTGCAGCCGCGCGTCGCCGTCGCCGCCCCGCCGCGCGGAGACGGCCCGGCGCCGCTCGGGCGTCACTGGCGCGTAGTGAGCTGCCGGTGGCGACGGGGCCCAGCCGGCGGCGCCGGCGGCGCGGGTCAGAGAGGGCGCCGGCACCGGCGGCCGCCCGTCAGCCGGGCGCAGGTGGTGCGCCGAAATAGTCGCCGGCGACGCCACGGCACCGGCCGTGGGAGCGACGGCGGCCAAACAGCCCGGCGCTGGCGGAGGGCATCAGTAAACAGGGCGAGGCGACGCTGCCAGCTCTCCGGGCTCCGCCTCGCTCCGGAGCAGCTCGCGGACGCCGCTGTTGGTCGTTGCGGAGCCCGCTTCCGGCCGCAAGCAATCCTAGCTTTGGAGCGGGAGCTGTATGCCGTTCGAGAGCCTCAATCCAGCTCACTGCATTACATCAGAGATCTGGCACGCGCGGAATGGAATTTGGTGGTATGTGTCATTCGTAAGACCCCGCCGCAGACCGGCAACAGCCAGAGCTGAGCAAACGGCGCGACGTTCCGCGTTCCGCTGTGCCCCGCAGCAGGCGCGACGCGGCTGGGGTAGTGGCGCGCAGGACTTCTGGGCCACGACTCAGAAGAACTGAGGCACGACCGCACGCCCAAGTACGGATAAGCACCAGCGGTCGACCGACCTCAATCAAAACACCACTTCAAATCAAACACTCATGAGTTCATCAAGCGGAAAACCCGACCAACCGCATGTCAAATAAACGGAGAAACGCACTCAATCGGCCGCTCGCGTCCAGCGCCGCCGGCCGACCGACCGGTGACGTCACCCGTTCCGGCCGTGCGGCGGCGAAGAGGCAATATTTGGACGGCCGCGCCCCGGACCGGTCACAGCCGAGCGACCCGCGGCGCCACCACCATGTCACGCCCCCCCCCCCCCCCACCCCTCCCTCCTCCGTGGGGCGGCGGACAGCGCCGGGGCGCAGTGCCCGGCGGTCAGTACGGGCCGGATCGGCCGGCGATGCTCAGCGTCGGACTCGCGTCACGCCAGAGCCAGCACACGAGCTGACGCGTCAACACATCATGAGCCGTGTCAACACCTCGCCACTGTGTTGACCAGCACGGCTTCCAGGAGACCGGCACCGTATCCAGGGGGCTGGCGCGTGGCACCAGCAGGCCGACACGTGGTCCAGCGGGGAGACACGTCACCCAGGTTACTGACACGTCACCAGGTAGCTGACAGGTCACCCACGTAGCTGACACGTCACCCTGGTGACCGGCACATGACCGCAGGGCCGACACGCCATCCGGAAGGGCGCGGCGCCGCTCCGAATGCCGGCACGCCAGCCTGGCGGCACGGCCTCATCTGAGGCGCCTGAGCCAACAGCGGGGCGCACGCGAGAGGCTCGCACAGCACGCGGTCGGCGACCGCCGCCGCCGCCCGCCGCCCACGCCCGCCGGCGCGCGCGGACGCGCGCGTACGCAGCACCGGCGCGGCTGTCGTCGCGCGTCGGGACTTTGGCCCCCCGCGCCTCCCCGCTGTATACACAAATAGGCGAGCCGACGGCGGCCGGTCGGACGGCCGCCGTCAATGGCGCGCCGATGGCCGGGAGCGCGCCGCGGCTGGACCTCGGTACGTACCTCGGTGCGCGGGCGGGCGAGGGCGGACACGAGCAGGGAGGGACTGGGGAGAACCGCCCGGAGGCGACGGAACGTCAGTGAGACCGGAAGAGGCTGGAGAGATCACAAGCGAGAGCACCGGCATCACAGAAGGATGTGGATCATGGATCACGGCGGGGTGCACGTGTGTGGACCGGCGGCATCACAGCGCGACAATATCGAGTTCAGCGCGTTAGAGCAGAACGTGCCGCTCGGGGGCGGAAGAACGCCGGTCAAATCACAGCCGCCAGTGGCAGCGGCCGAATCCGGGCGACCCAGCGCCAGCTCTCAGACTCCATCGGCGACAAAGGCCACCACGCACGCACCGACCTACGACCCCTTTCGTCTGGCCTCCCCTACGTGGCTTTCGGCCCCTCGCCCGATCCCCTCCTCTGTGCACCAACGCTGCCCATGGCCACAACACGAGCACCTCACCACCACCGACCCGGTGTCTGCAGCCGACGGCCGGGCGGCACAGCCGGTCAGACCGGGGTGGCGACGGCCCGCTGCATGGCCTGATTTACGGCCTGTTTAACGCGGCGGCACGGGCCGCGCGCGCGCGCTGTGCTGCGCCGGCCCCGGCAGCCCGGCCGACACGGGCCGTCGAAACCCAATCCGCAGGCGGCGGGCTCTGATCGCCGCCGATGGCGCGCCGCCCGCAGCGCGACGAGCCTGCAGCCGCTGATAAATGGCGCGTGCGTGACGAAAGGCGCGCGTCACGCCGCGCGCCCGTCACGTCCACCTCTTTGCCGCCGTCATCGCGACTCAAGGACAGCGTGCAGGGAGTCCGTTCGCGCCTCGGTGGCGGCCCAGCGGCGGCCGTCTCCTCCGCACCTGCCCTGCCCTGCCCGGCCGGGTTCCTACCGCGAACCGCCGCCGGCGGCGGCCCGTTCGCACGCCGCGGCGTACATCACCGCTCGTGCAGCGCGGCCGGCGCCGGCGCGCGCTTTATGGCCCCGCCTGTCGACGGGAGTATACGACGGCCGTTGGGCAACCGGTCGGCAGCCGTAAAACCGGGCGTGAAGTGGCGCGGCGCGGCGAGCCGCGGCGCGCCTCTCTGGCGCAGGCGACCGACTGCCACCGCCACCGGCCCTCACGGCCGGACCGGCGCCAGACGACCCCGACCATCACTATCACGCATACGCCACCTGGCGACCATCGGCCGCGCGGCTGGCGGCGCCTGACACGCGTGCGCGCACCGTCGCCTGTTTACGGCCGGGGCGACCGGCCAGACCGGAGGGACTCCTCCGCTGGCCGCCCGCACGAGGCCCGGACGAGACCCGGACAGACCCCGACCGGCGAGGCAGCCGGCCGCTCGTCAGCCGCCGCTGACAAATCCGCCGACAGGGCGCGACACGACGGCCGGTCCGAGCGGCGGCCGCCGCCATCGCTCACCCGTGCGTCGGTCCGCGCCGCCGGACGCGGCAGATGCTCGTGTCGCGCGCCTCACCCGCCGAGTCGTCTGAGCACGCCGGCCGGCGTCGGCCTCACGCGCACGACTGGGCCGCCCGGCGGAGCGGCCGCCAGCCCCGGCGAGCGGGGCGCCGCCGCGCCCCGAGGGGAGGGGAGGGGAGGGGGACGCGGAGGAGCCGCGGGCGCCCGGCGACCCGCCGACGGGTTTAGCGTAATCCTTTTGGCGGACCGCACGATCTACGACCGGCGATAATTTCGCCAGCGCCGGCTGTCCGGCGCCGTACCTGCCAGGCGCGCGCGGCGCCCGGGGCGGGCAGAGGGAGGGGCCGCCGACGACCGTCCACTCAATCCCATCAGTTTGACCGACTGGCTGCCAGACAATAAATCAGTCACGGGCGCCGCGGCGCGACCAGACGAACAGATCGGACGGGCGCGTCAGACGTGCCAGTTAGAGCCACCTGCCGGCTCCGGCCGCAGTGAGCGCGTGCTAATTAATGTCGACTAGTCTGGCCGGACCTGGACCGGCGGCAACGAAAGGCCGATGTCGACAGGGCCGGAGGCGAAAAGAAAGCAGGAGACCATGTGGGAGACACGCGTAAGCACGATGGTCACAGGGCCGATAGTGCAGGAGTGGTGGGAAGAGCTGGTGGAGCAGAAGGGAGAGCGGGAGAGGTGGTCCATCGTTCCATCCGCCGTCCATCGTTCCAATCGGGGGAATTGAGGGATTCCGACGCTCATCATCACAAATGTCCAGTGCGTTGTAAAACGGTTGCACAATTATTGAAAATAGATGAGGACGAGAGACAGCCGGAGACAAAAACAAGGGAAGAGGAAAAATAAACACTGAGGCCGACAATTATGCAAAGAAAACAGCTGGCACCGGTGATAAAATCACAGGTCCTGCGACAGAAAAAACACACGGACACCGGGCGGCGAAGGGTGGTCATTACGCTAATCCCGGCGAGCGGGGGCGGTCCGCGCCGCCGGTGGACGCCTGGCCGTGGCTGTCCGCCACGACACGGCGCAAACAGGGGGCGACAGCGGCGGCGGTCGCGGCCGGCCGAGGAGGCGGGCGCGGCGCGCGCCCTGCGCACCACATGCGCGTCGCCGGCCAGCGCCCGGCCGCCGGCCGGACGCACTAAATCAGAGGCGGCGGCGCCAGTGACGTCATGTGCCGGCCAGCTGAGCGCCGCGCCGGCGGCGCTGGCGGCGACGATGGCGGCTGGCGGCGACGGCTGATCCCCAGGGGGACCGGCGAGTTTGTGGCCGCTAGCGGAGGGCTGGCGGATGAAGCGGCGCATACGGCGGTGGCGACGCGCCTGCAGATAGTGGCGCGGCTTCGGGAGACAGCTCAGATAGGGTGCAGCTCCCGGGGACCGCCGATGGAAGGGTGGACGACTGAGGCTCAGGGGTGACGGTGCAGCGGCCGCGGGCCGAGCATACGCCGCTCCGCTGCAGCTGGTGCCGTCCGGGGCGATCTGGAGGCCGTTTGGGTCGGTGGGAGAGGTGAAACCAGGAGAGGGCATCAGCTGGATGGCCGGAAAGATATTTCCTAGGATGCATAAAGTTGATGGCTAAAACGCTGACCAGTTTCTACCCCCTGACCGATCAGCCACCGCGCAACACCTGGCGCGGGTGTACGAGCGCACAACGCGAAGTGAGTGGACACAGGGTAATTCTTCCGACGATCGGGTCGAGTCTCGAATCTGTGACCACGGCGTACCACGCAACCACTCGGCTTCGCTGAATCGTGTGCGCGTCATTGGAGCTTTACAACGCACTGAACTGCTGAGGCAGGGCGTCGCCTGCCTCACACCCTCGCAGGATGGGCGGGCACCACGGGGAATCGAACCCCGTACCTCTGGTTTCCCAGACGCGCAGCGGTCAACGCAGACGCGTTAACCACTACACTACCGGCAACCATCGCTGAATCGTGACCGACGGAAGACAGTCCTACTGCGTCTGTGTCGCCCGGAGGTCAGCAGACCGACACGCACAATCGACGCTTGAGTTTGCGCACCGTCACCGGCTGGGTGGCGTCTTCTGCTTCGTAAAATAGCCGTCCATATTTGGCTCGGAGAGCTCCTTGCACACGGCTGCCTCTACGTATCACCGTCACATTGAACGCTTCGATTGGCGGAGAGCGAAAACCATGAAACATCCAACTGACAGGACGCTGAGCGCAGATTGGTTATCTGTATGCTCGCGAAACGTCAAACGCTTACCAGTGCGCGCGCAAAAATAAGCTCACGCTTGAAAAGGGTTGGCCACGTCCCTGCAAAGTGTCGTGTTGATACGCTAAACGCCGTTTAGTTAGCGGGTATAGCTGATACAGTAAAGGAATCTTGCGTGTTTCGCTCCCTGTGAAAAGTCAAGAATCCCAGCACCTGGCATTCGGTGAAAGTAATCGAGTTTCCACGTTGCAGAATTGGTCACCGGCTTCTCCGGCCGTCACCGTGTCCTCGCCATGGACGCGGCCGACATTGAAGTCCGAAAAGAAGCGTCGGCTCGCGGCCCGTCGCGTTTTCCTGGAGGATCGGCGGCATTTGTCTCTGCCACGGCGCCCGGCAGGGGCCATCAGTTCCCCGACTGCGGCCGCCACCGCTGACGTAACCGGTGCACGTTCGCCGGTGCCGTCCGCGGAGCGAGCCGCACGACACCACCGCAGCGGTGGTGTCACTCTCGTCTGGCTGATGGTATCGGTAAGCGTTTCCACCGTATCGCTGCAGCGGCCCGACGAAGGGGGGGGGGGGGCGGCAGACCGCGCCAGCCCTTCGGCACGATCGGCACAGCGCGGACCCAGCCAGGCCACGTGCAACCGGCCCGAGTCAGAGTCTTGGACACTTTCAAGGTTCCGAAACCTTGAGGAAACTTGTAATCGAAAAGACCGGGTGGACATCATGGACATCGTGATCAGAGCAATCACAACAGTGGGTCCCCCAAACACCCTCATTTCTTCTGAAGTGATCACACGTCCTCATTTCTTTCAAGTGATGTTATTTTGTTTATTGATAGAGGTCATCACCACTGAACAGCAATCAGCTCGATCCATCCACTCACCATCCCTGAATGACAGTGTTCGGTTTCGAAAGCCGGAGTTTAGGTTGATGAATACCTAGGCATTTGTATCTCCATGGCAATGCGACATGAATTTTGGTTTAGTAATGGGCTGTGCACGTGATGGAAATGCTGGAATGATGATTGGTGCCATTTGGCAATGGGTCGCTCCGCGGAAGTTATGAGCATGACTGGTTCAATTTCGAGAAAACAATGTGGGTACGTTCCCCATGGCACCTACGGTTTTATAAATGAAGGTTGTTGTTCATGCATGTTGATGCGGTTGAAATGTGAGGGCACAATTATATTTAATTATCGCGTACAACCCTTTAAACACATGAATTGTCACAATAGCTGACGACATGTGTCGTCGAATTTTGCTCCAATTCACACCGAGCCACAAACCCGAACTTCTGAAGTGGTGTACCCCCCTCCCCCCCCCCCACAAACTGGCACGCCACAGGCCGACGTCGCCACTCACAGGAGATGACCCCAGCGGACCTGGTGGTTGCTTCCCTGATCCCAGGGTGATACACGGCCCGAATGACAGATATAGGAAACACATCGCACGGAAGTGCGCAGTTTTGCAAAATGTGTTGCGGGCGGGGGGGACCTGAAAAGTGAAAAAGCGGCAAAACCCACCCAAAAAACACGCCACCAAACGGGGTTTCTCTAAGGATTCGGCCCTCGTCCTTCCAGGTTTTGAGAGCCCCCCCCCCCCCCGCCCCCTCCCCTCTGCAGAACAATATGCTACACCCGACACACCCCACGGCGAGCGGACCGGAGCAGAGCGGCGCTGAGCTCCGGGCCCGGCCGTCGGTCGGCGTCCGCGGGTCTGACGGCGGCGGCGGCGGCGGCGGCGGCGGCGGCGTCACGGCCGACCGGGCCAGTCCGGCCGGCCCTGCTTGGCTGCAATCGGCGCCGCTGACGGGCGGCGGCGCCGGCGGGCACAGCCGCCGCCCGCTGCAGCGGCGAGCCGCGCCGGACAGTGGCCAGACTCGCCGGCCGACCGGACAGGGGCCGCTCTGTCCGACACAGCCTGGTAGGTGGCTGACCAACAGAGACTGGTCTCTGGCGGGCCGAGCAGAGACGGCTGTGCTTTGTACTCTGCATGGGTATGCTTTGTGGCGGGCTGGAGAGGGACGTGACGCAGTGGGGACCGGACAGATACTGGTCGGTCCCTGACGAACCACCGGACAGAAGCTGATCCACCGCGGACCGGACAGAGACCGGCCTGTGGCTCGCAGAGCAGGACAGGACAGATGGTGGGGGAAACGCTAACATGGGAACGCGGGGCCCTCCGGGACTGTGCCTGCGCAGACGTCGTAAAGGTGAAACTGAAGCACGTACTTGGCCGCTCTCATTACACCCTCGGCGCCTTCTGTTCCGTCGATTACCCACTCCAGCACACTCCTGCGTCCATGAGCGGCCTTTGTCCGCCTGCTCTCGCGGCGACGTGACTCAGACAACGTACGTGCGCCCCGGCGGCGCGACGCACAGGCCGGCGAGGCGCCTCAATTAGCTGAGTCACACCTGCCGGTGCCGCGCCGCCAGGGGGCGCGGCTCCAGCGCCGCTATCAGGCTGCCTGTGGCCTCCTCGCCACTTACCGGAGCCGCCGCCGGCGTCCGGCACCGCGCCCGCCGCTCCCAGCTCTCTCCGCGCTCTGCTGCCGTCTGGTCCCGCCCTTCTGCAGATCACCGTCTGATCTGCCGTCCGATCGGATTCCAAGCCCGACGAGCTCTTTTGCACCTCGCGCCGCCTTTGCACTCCTCACAACGACGGCTCTGTTCAGTCACGTCCTGACCCGTGCCGTGGCCCAGCTGTGTCGGACTGGGACTGAGAGGGTCGGTGCATGCGACAGGGACGTGTGACCCCCGTCCAGGGTCCATCTCCGTTTGCCCTCGCCGGTCACAATGTCCGCCCTCCGGTTCATCACTCTGCCACGGCCCGCATTCTGCCGCCCGCAGCTCCGCGTCCGCCCCTCCCCGCCCGTCTCCCGCCCGTACGCGTCTCCGGCGGCCGTCCAGCCGTCCAGCCGTCCGTCCGGGCACCGGCGGCTCAGCGGCTCTGACTGACAGGCGTCCGACGCGCCGCCGTGTCCGCGCCGTCGGCCGCCGGCGGAGCACGCGCACCGGCGACGGAGACAGGGCCGGCGGCGCCGCGCTGGCGCCGGGCGACGGCTGCCAACGGCGCCAGAGCGCCACGCCGCACGCTCCGGTCTGGAGCCAGGCAGGCGCGGTCTGAGGTTCCACTCTTCGCTAGGTGCAAGACGCCGCAGGCTGTTCACAGGAACTTGGCTCACGTGAACGCTACGAGCGTTTCTCACGTCACGAAGCCATCACGCAAGACCCGCTATGAAGCATCTCACTACATACGTTGATCATCAAACGGCCGCAATCATCGCCTGGGTCCAAGCTGGCACCCGTCGCCTCGCCATTCGCCGCCGTCCTCAATCTTGAATCCTCGCACCCAACCGCCGCCGTCCTCACTCCTCAATCCTCGCATCCAGCCGCCGCCGCGCCGGCGGCAGATGCCGCCGCGGCCGACCGCAGTGTCGTGGCCGCCACCTCGGGCCGCTCTCAGGGGTGCACTTACAGCGCGGTCAAGCGCGGTAATGACGCCGTTCGGGCGGCGCTCGCCGCTCTGCGGTGACGACCCCGACTCCCGGCGGTGCCCTCAGCCGGCGCGGCTGCCGGACGCCGGCCGACGGCGACTCGCAGCCACGCGCCTGTCGCGGGGGGGGGG